TTGGCTTCTAGGGTACCTAGTATGCCACTATTTGGTATCAAAATAAAGAGGAGGAGTTCAACTTTCATTTGAATTACGAAAATAGCGATGTAGGTCAAAATAGTTCCGACGTGAGCATGTTTACTACGCGTTTGCCCGTCATCTCAGAATTGAGGAAATGGTAGCAAACGCGAGTTACAATAAATGGACGCTGATATCTCAAAAAGTAACCCGACTCCCTATAATTTGATGTACATCAATCGAACCCCTATATGAACAGGTACATTTTGATATATAACACTATAGGGGGTAAGCGAACGCCATATTTGCAAAGTATTGTTATGAATTTTCGAATTTGGTGTTGGATTACGGTACTCATACCTTGAAAATAAGAAATCAAGTTAACTGAAGTAGGTTTAAATTCTTGTCAATCGTTTGTGACGTCACAGGCGTGCTACCTAACCAACAATAAAACAAACAAGAATATGGTATCGTTCAGTGCCTTACACTACTGATGGTATCAGGCCGGGGTATCAGGGCTAGGCAACTTTTTTCTCCAAGCAGATCTTGACAAAGAGTTTGCTGCATTATCTTGTTGGACCTATCTTGTTGTTGTCGTCTTCCGGTCAGGTCAAGGACACTGGATTTTTAACTTCCGTTCAAGATTTTAATTACACTAAATTTAGGAACTTTCCAAACAGTTTCGGCCTTTTAAATCCTGTGTAATATTTTGCAATATTGTTCAGTTTACTTATGCCATGCTCAGTTTGTCCCGATTTTCTCTAAATTTAATGTTCTCAGTGGTCAAGCAGGTGACCTCACTTGACCCTGACGTCACTGATCACTGTTGACCAATCAGCGCGCAGTAGACCAGACCCATACATCGCTATCACTCTCGTTTTTTTAACAGATTCCAATTTGCTGCTACTTGCGTATCTTGTGAAGAGCAAGAAAAAACGAACCTCGCGCGGATTGCCCTGATTCCTCCCAATTACACATCCCAACCTTGCTTCAGTAAACACGATTTCTTATTTTCAACGACAATTTAGTTACTTTTATTTTTATTCGGGTAGGGAACTTTTTCCAATTGTGGTTAGCAATATAGTTACACGACGACAGAATCTCAAACATAATCATGCAATAAAATAATTTTGGAATGTGTTTTTGATCCTACCACCCCTATGAAAAAAATAAAAGCGCCCGCCTGGGTCGCCTGCTCGCCTGTAAATACAGGTAACCCATTTCAAAGGTTTTTAATAATTTTTATGAAATTTTCACAAAGTATCCAAAAATGTCTTGTTATTGGGTCCTAGAATATTAGCATCTCTAGTTTGATTGGTCAGAAATGATGATTACTATGGTAACTTGACTTTTCGGTAGGCGGGCACTTTACGTCACAGAATGTACTAGTTTTGGCCCACCCTGTATATTCCATTTGTTCTGTTTGAATTACAAATCGTAAAATAAGAATAACTATGTGACATCATAATCTATGTTCTAGTAAACTTCATATCACACATCATTACTCATTGACATCATCAAACAAAATCACACTTGAGAGATTCAAAGATGACTGAAATACAAAAAGAAGAGAAGCTTTAACAGATCACAGCTGCCATAATATAATGAGTTATTAAAAGTATTTTAGCTACTTCTTAAAAGAATTCTTATTTCGTAAATTAATGACTCAAAAATTATTATGAGCATAGATGATATCTAAATGTTAGGAGATTACCAATTATTTGACAGCACAAATGCAGGAGAATTAAATTCACAAGAGCGACATGATCATGTTTTCAACATGTTCAATGACTGACTGCTATTCAAAATATTCTAGTTAAGGACACATTCTGAGGGAGCTTTTGGCAAATTACACATGAATAATATATGTTCTAATATTTGTTAATGCAATTTTCACATAACATCCAACAAACATTTTATTATTTCCCTGCTATATTTTATTTCTTCTCGTTTAAATTACAAATAGTGAATGTATACGTAGTACAACTAAATGATATCACAATCACAATTCTAGTAAACTTTATATCATACATGATTGCTCATGACATCATCAAACAAAAGTCACACTTGAGAGATTCAAAGATGACTGAAATTCCTAAAGAGGAAAAGCTTAAACAGACCAGATCTGCCTTGGAGGACAGACCAAATTAACCAAGAAACGATGTTATGTATGTTATTATTTGGAAAGGGTATGTTAAAGATGCTATGATGCAATCCTTGATTTAACAGGATGAAGGATGAGTTAAGACATGTATGGTATGGAATAATGCAAGAATTTTCAAGTGCAGTTCCAGATCGCCCTTCCAAGTTTTCCCAAAAGCTTCCAAGCATACTATCACCAATGGGTTCGACACCAGCGACTGTGCATTAAACACAAGGGAATGTACTTGAACACCTCGCAACGATACATGTGACTCTGAGAAGTAATAGCAGATATGTACATAGAAAAGAAATTAAAAGGAACTCCAGGTGATTCAATCGTAACATTGGCTGTTTTTCTATGGAATACAGTGACGTAAAAGTGCCCCGCCTACCCAAAAGTCAATTTACCTTAGAAACCATAACTTTTGACCAATTAAATTAAAAATACTGATATTGTAGGGATCTATAACCACGGGGTACCATCGAATAATTTTGGCAACGTACCGGAGAACGACATTTTACTAAGAAATGGCAATAATTTAGCACAATATATTTTTTAACTAGAGTTCTACTTTGATTTTGACAAAAGTAAGTATTCCATGCAATGGCTATTTCATTCATGAGTTTGTAGAAATTCTGTTGGAACCCAGTTCTGATCAAATACAAAGTTATTGAAATCGGCGCAGTCGGACTTCACTCCGAAAGATGGTTTTTCGATTATAACTTTTTACAACATTTAAGTATAGACTTTTGATAAAAGTACAGAATAGTCCTTATACTATTGAATAATTCTGTTATTTCTGATTCACACGACTCTGATTTGTTTAATTAAAAGTCTATACTTAAATGTTGTGAAAAGTTATAATCGAAAAACCATCTTTCGGAGTAAAGTCCGTCTGCGCCGATTTCAATAACTTCGTACTTGATCAGAACAAGGGCGTTACAATACCCGGGAATTTATCGGTTCGTCCAGTACTTGTTTGTGATAGCGCCCTCTGTAGGTCACTGTGCTTATAGCCTACAGTAATACGGGGTAGGATATCGGGAATTCGGTCAGTTTCTATCCGTCGATTTCGCTATGAATTGAAGCAAGTGTGACCACTTTATCCACTTAAACAATTTGATAATTGATTAAATCTTTAAACAAAATCGATAAACACGTTATACACTTCCTATCTCCTTAGAAATTAGCATGTATTTATGGATTGTGTTTTCGAACAAGGCTCGACCCACCCCAATAGGGAAATCCTTATGCTAATTAGTATGACGTCATATTTTCCTGGGGAATCCTAGATTTCAAGGCCTCAGTCTGTTATTGTGTCAAATGTAAACGCTCTTGGGACGCTCTTTTGCAGACAGAAAATTGACAGATTAGCTTTCAACTTTCAGCTTTGATGTTTAAATATTCTGTATTTCTACCGGACTTCTTGCTGAATATCATATAATGTTATAACTTGATTTGGATCATTGCCTGATTGATCATTCTGAAATTTTGATTGTGATTCATGATTGATTGGCAAGAAAAATAATTCCTATTGTTTTCCAGCGAAGTCAAAATGTTACAGCATGAGTTATAATGTCGAGTTTGCATCATGTTAAATTCTGCTAGTGATTAGAAGTCCATGCACAAGCATACACATAAGAGACAAACACACCCAGGCTCCAGGCCGTGGATGGAAATATAAAACTATTTAAGGCACAAACTGGTATTAATAGACCGATATGTAGTGTCTGCCATGTATTGAAGGTAAACCAATCTGTATTATTAATGTTTCTTCTATCAATACATGGGTTGTGCAATAGAAAAGCAATGGCACAATCAAAAATGTGCATATCAATCGTGAATATCTCTCGGTTCAAAGCTTATTTCCAACAGAATCGTGTCAAAATATGTGTCTGAGTAACAGTTATACATTATAAGATCGCAAACTCTTACCAATTATCAGCCGAATGGCTCATTTTCAACGAAATGTCCTTAAGACAACAGCCCTGGGTCGCGCCTGAGACCAAAAACTACTTCAAATAGCCCTCCCCTAATTATATTGGATAATCACATTTATGCGTGCGCGCGCAGCTCATCCAATGAACGAAACGCCACTTCCCGCTGAAATCACCGGGTATTGATCTTTCCCTTGATCAGAACTGGGTTCCAACAGAATTCCTACAAACTCATGAATGAAATAGTTATTGCATGGAATACTTACTTTTGTCAAAATCAAAATAGAACTCTAGTTAAAAAATATATTGTGCTGAATTATTGCCATTTCTTAGTAAAATTTCGTTCTCCGGTACGTTGCCAAAATTATTCGATGGTACCCCGTGATAACAAGATATTTTGGATGTTATGTGAAAATTTCATTAAAAATATAAACTTTCGAATGAGAGCATTATTCCCTGAACTTGTACCTGTAGAAGCTGCCGTAGTTGCGTCAGCCACTGTAGTTGTGTCAGCTACTGTTGTTGTAACATCAGCCGTTGTTGCATCAGCAACTGTTGTTGTAGCATCAGCTGTAGTTGTGTCAGCCACTGTACTTATAGCATCAGCTGCTGTAGTATCTGCCGTAGTTGCGTCAGCCACTGTAGATGTGTCAGCAACTGTTGTTGTAACATCAGCCGTTGTTGCATCAGCAACTGTTGTTGTAGCATCAGCTGTTGTTGTGTCAGCCACTGTAGTTGTAGCATCAGCTGCTGTAGTTTCTGCCGTAGTTGCGTCAGCCACTGTAGTTGTGTCAGCTACTGTTGTTGTAACATCAGCCGTTGTTGAATCAGCAACTGTTGTTGTAGCATCAGCTGCTGTAGTATCTGCCGTAGTTGCGTCAGCCACTGTAGTTGTGTCAGCAACTGTTGTTGTAACATCAGCCGTTGTTGCATCAGCAACTGTTGTTGTAGCATCAGGTGCAGTTGTGTCAGCCACTGTAGTTGTAGCATCAGCTGCTGTAGTATCTGCCGTAGTTGCGTCAGCCACTGTAGTTGTGTCAGCTACTGTTGTTGTAACATCAGCCGTTGTTGCATCAGCAACTGTTGTTGTAGCATCAGCTGTAGTTGTGTCAGCCACTGTACTTGTAGCATCAGCTGCTGTAGAATCTGCCGTAGTTGCGTCAGCCACTGTAGTTGTGTCAGCAACTGCTGTTGTAACATCAGCCGTTGTTGCATCAGCAACTGTTGTTGTAGCATCAGCTGCAGTTGTGTCAGCCACTGTAGTTGTAGCATCAGCTGCTGTAGTATCTGCCGTAGTTGCGTCAGCCACTGTAGTTGTGTCAGCTACTGTTGTTGTAACATCAGCCGTTGTTGCATCAGCAACTGTTGTTGTAGCATCAGCTGTAGTTGTGTCAGCCACTGTACTTGTAGCATCAGCTGCTGTAGTATCTGCCGTCATTGCGTCAGCCACTGTAGTTGTGTCAGCAACTGCTGTTGTAACATCAGCCGTTGTTGCATCAGCAACTGTTGTTGTAGCATCAGCTGTAGTTGTGTCAGCCACTGTACTTGTAGCATCAGCTGCTGTAGTATCTGCCGTAGTTGCGTAAGCCACAGTAGTTGTGTCAGCTACTGTTGTTGTAACATCAGCTGTTGTTGCATCAGCACCTGTTGTTGTAGCATCAGCTGTAGATGTGTCTGCCACTGTACTTGTGGTATCAGCTGCTGTAGTATCTGCCGAAGTTAGGTCAGCCACTGTAGTTGTGTGAGCAACTGTTGTTGTAACATCAGCCGTTGTTGCATCAGCAACCGTTGTTGTAGCATCAGCTGTAGTTGTGTCAGCCACTGTACTTGTAGCATCAGCTGCTGTAGTATCTGCCGTAGTTGCGTCAGCCACTGTAGTTGTGTCAGCTACTGTTGTTGTAACATCAGCCGTTGTTGCATCAGCAACTGTTGTTGTAGCATCAGCTGTAGTTGCGTCAGCCACTGTAGTTGTGTCAGCTACTGTTGTTGTAGCATCAGCCGTTGTTGCATCAGCAACTGTTGTTGTAGCATCAGCTGTAGTTGTGTCAGCCACTGTAGTTGTAGCATCAGCTGCTGTAGTATCTGCCGTAGTTGCGTCAGCCACTGTAGTTGTGTCAGCTACTGTTGTTGTAACATCAGCCGTTGTTGCATCAGCAACTGTTGTTGTAGCATCAGCTGTAGTTGTGTCAGCCACTGTAGTTGTAGCATCAGCTGCTGTAGTATCTGCCGTAGTTGCATCAGCCACTGTAGTTGTGTCAGCTACTGTTGTTGTAACATCAGCCGTTGTTGCATCAGCAACTGTTGTTGTAGCATCACCTGAAAATGTGTCAGCCTCTGTTGTTGTAGCATCAGCTGCTGTTGTATCTGCCGTAGTTGCGTCAGCCACTGTAGTTGTGTCAGCTACTGTTGTTGTAACATCAGCCGTTGTTGCATCAGGAACTGTTGTTGTAGCATCAGCTGTAGTTGTGTCAGCCACTGTAGTTGTAGCATCAGCTGCTGTAGTATCTGCCGTAGTTGCGTCAGCCACTGTAGTTGTGTCAGCTACTGTTGTTGTAACATCAGCCGTTGTTGCATCAGCAACTGTTGTTGTAGCATCACCTGAAAATGTGTCAGCCTCTGTTGTTGTAGCATCAGCTGCTGTAGTATCTGCCGTAGTTGCGTCAGCCACTGTAGTTGTGCCAGCTACTGTTGTTGTAACATCAGCCGTTGTTGCATCAGCAACTGTTGTTGTAGCATCAGCTGTAGTTGTGTCAGCCACTGTAGTTGAAGCATCAGCTGCTGTAGTATCTGCCGTAGTTGCGTCAGCCACTGTAGTTGTGTCAGCTACTGTTGTTGTAACATCAGCCGTTGTAGCATCAGCAAAAGTTGTTGTAGCATCAGCTGTTGTTGTGTCAGTCACTGTAGTTGTAGCATCAGCTGCTGTAGTATCTGCCGTAGTTGCGTCAGCCACTGTAGTTGTGCCAGCTACTGTTGTTGTAACATCAGCCGTTGTTGCATCAGCAACTGTTGTTGTAGCATCAGCTGTAGTTGTGTCAGCCACTGTAGTTGTAGCATCAGCTGCTGTAGTATCTGCCGTAGTTGCGTCAGCCACTGTAGTTGTGTCAGCTACTGTTGTTGTAACATCAGCCGTTTTTGCATCAGCAACTGTTGTTGTAGCATCAGCTGTAGTTGTGTCAGCCACTGTAGTTGTAGCATCAGCTGCTGTAGTATCTGCCGTAGTTGCGTCAGCCACTGTAGTTGTGTCAGCTACTGTTGTTGTAACATCAGCCGTTGTAGCATCAGCAAAAGTTGTTGTAGCATCAGCTATTGTTGTGTCAGCCACTGTAGTTGTAGCATCAGCTGCTGTAGTATCTGCCGTAGTTGCGTCAGCCACTGTAGTTGTGCCAGCTACTGTTGTTGTAACATCAGCCGTTGTTGCATCAGCAACTGTTGTTGTAGCATCACCTGAAAATGTGTCAGCCTCTGTTGTTGTAGCATCAGCTGCTGTAGTATCTGCCGTAGTTGCGTCAGCCACTGTAGTTGTGTCAGCTACTGTTGTTGTAACACCAGCCGTTGTTGCATCAGCAACTGTTGTTGTAGCATCAGCTGTAGTTGTGTCAGCCACTGTAGTTGTAGCATCAGCTGCTGTAGTATCTGCCATAGTTGCGTCAGCCACTGTAGTTGTGTCAGCTACTGTTGTTGTAACATCAGCCGTTGTTGCATCAGCAACTGTTGTTGTAGCATCAGCTGTAGTTGTGTCAGCCACTGTAGTTGTAGCATCAGCTGCTGTAGTATCTGCCGTAGTTGCGTCAGCCACTGTAGTTGTGTCAGCTACTGTTGTTGTAACATCAGCCGTTGTAGCATCAGCAAAAGTTGTTGTAGCATCAGCTATTGTTGTATCAGCCACTGTAGTTGTAGCATCAGCTGCTGTAGTATCTGCCGTAGTTGCATCAGCCACTGTAGTTGTGTCAGCAACTGTTGTTGTAGCATCAGCTGTAGTTGTGTCAGCCACTGTAGTTGTAGCATCAGCTGCTGTAGTATCTGCCGTAGTTGCGTCAGCCACTGTAGTTGTGTCAGCTACTGTTGTTGTAACATCAGCCGTTGTAGCATCAGCAAAAGTTGTTGTAGCATCAGCTATTGTTGTGTCAGCCACTGTAGTTGTAGCATCAGCTGCTGTAGTATCTGCCGTAGTTGCGTCAGCCACTGTAGTTGTGCCAGCTACTGTTGTTGTAACATCAGCCGTTGTTGCATCAGCAACTGTTGTTGTAGCATCAGCTGTAGTTGTGTCAGCCACTGTAGTTGTAGCATCAGCTGCTGTAGTATCTGCCGTAGTTGCGTCAGCCACTGTAGTTGTGTCAGCTACTGTTGTTGTAACATCAGCCGTTGTTGCATCAGCAACTGTTGTTGTAGCATCAGCTGTAGTTGTGTCAGCCACTGTAGTTGTAGCATCAGCTGCTGTAGTATCTGCCGTAGTTGCGTCAGCCACTGTAGTTGTGTCAGCTACTGTTGTTGTAACATCAGCCGTTGTTGCATCAGCAACTGTTGTTGTAGCATCAGCTGTAGTTGTATCAGCCACTGTAGTTGTAGCATCAGCTGCTGTAGTATCTGCCGTAGTTGCTTCAGCCATTGTAGTTGTGTCAGCAACTGTTGTTGTAGCATCAGCTGTAGTTGTGTCAGCCACTGTAGTTGTAGCATCAGCTGCTGTAGTATCTGCCGTAGTTGCGTCAGCCACTGTAGTTGTGTCAGCTACTGTTGTTGTAACATCAGCCGTTGTTGCATCAGCAACTGTTGTTGTAGCATCAGCTGTAGTTGTGTCAGCCACTGTAGTTGTAGCATCAGCTGCTGTAGTATCTGCCGTAGTTGCGTCAGCCACTGTAGTTGTGTCAGCTACTGTTGTTGTAACATCAGCCGTTGTAGCATCAGCAACTGTTGTTGTAGCATCAGCTGTAGTTGTGTCAGCCACTGTAGTTGTAGCATCAGCTGCTGTAGTATCTGCCGTAGTTGCGTCAGCCACTGTAGTTGTGTCAGCCTCTGTTGTTGTAGCATCAGCTGCTGTAGTATCTGCCGTAGTTGCGTCAGCCACTGTAGTTGTGTCAGCTACTGTTGTTGTAGCATCAGCCGTTGTTGCATCAGCAACTGTTGTTGTAGCATCAGCTGTAGTTGTGTCAGCCACTGTAGTTGTAGCATCAGCTGCTGTAGTATCTGCCGTAGTTGCGTCCGCCACTGTAGTTGTGTCAGCTACTGTTGTTGTAACATCAGCCGTTGTTGCATCAGCAACTGTTGTTGTAGCATCACCTGAAAATGTGTCAGCCTCTGTTGTTGTAGCATCAGCAGCTGTAGTATCTGCCGTAGTTGCGTCAGCCACTATAGTTGTGTCAGCTACTGTTGTTGTAACATCAGCCGTTGTTGCATCAGCAACTGTTGTTGTAGCATCAGCTGTAGTTGTGTCAGCCACTGTAGTTGTAGCATCAGCTGCTGTAGTATCTGCCATAGTTGCGTCAGCCACTGTAGTTGTGTCAGCTACTGTTGTTGTAACATCAGCCGTTGTTGCATCAGCAACTGTTGTTGTAGCATCAGCTGTAGTTGTGTCAGCCACTGTAGTTGTAGCATCAGCTGCTGTAGTATCTGCCGTAGTTGCGTCAGCCACTGTAGTTGTGTCAGCTACTGTTGTTGTAACATCAGCCGTTGTAGCATCAGCAAAAGTTGTTGTAGCATCAGCTATTGTTGTGTCAGCCACTGTAGTTGTAGCATCAACTGCTGTAGTATCTGCCGTAGTTGCGTCAGCCACTGTAGTTGTGCCAGCTACTGTTGTTGTAACATCAGCCGTTGTTGCATCAGCAACTGTTGTTGTAGCATCAGCTGTAGTTGTGTCAGCCACTGTAGTTGTAGCATCAGCTGCTGTAGTATCTGCCGTAGTTGCGTCAGCCACTGTAGTTGTGTCAGCTACTGTTGTTGTAACATCAGCCGTTGTTGCATCAGCAACTGTTGTTGTAGCATCAGCTGTAGTTGTGTCAGCCACTGTAGTTGTAGCATCAGCTGCTGTAGTATCTGCCGTAGTTGCGTCAGCCACTGTAGTTGTGTCAGCTACTGTTGTTGTAACATCAGCCGTTGTTGCATCAGCAACTGTTGTTGTAGCATCAGCTGTAGTTGTATCAGCCACTGTAGTTGTAGCATCAGCTGCTGTAGTATCTGCCGTAGTTGCTTCAGCCACTGTAGTTGTGTCAGCAACTGTTGTTGTAGCATCAGCTGTAGTTGTGTCAGCCACTGTAGTTGTAGCATCAGCTGCTGTAGTATCTGCCGTAGTTGCGTCAGCCACTGTAGTTGTGTCAGCTACTGTTGTTGTAACATCAGCCGTTGTTGCATCAGCAACTGTTGTTGTAGCATCAGCTGTAGTTGTGTCAGCCACTGTAGTTGTAGCATCAGCTGCTGTAGTATCTGCCGTAGTTGCGTCAGCCACTGTAGTTGTGTCAGCTACTGTTGTTGTAACATCAGCCGTTGTAGCATCAGCAACTGTTGTTGTTGCATCAGCTGTAGTTGTGTCAGCCACTGTAGTTGTAGCATCAGCTGCTGTAGTATCTGCCGTAGTTGCGTCAGCCACTGTAGTTGTGTCAGCCACTGTTGTTGTAGCATTAGCTGCTGTAGTATCTGCCGTAGTTGCGTCAGCCACTGTAGTTGTGTCAGCTACTGTTGTTGTAAGATCAGCCGTTGTTGCATCAGCAACTGTTGTTGTAGCATCAGCTGTAGTTGTGTCAGCCACTGTAGTTGTAGCATCAGCTGCTGTAGTATCTGCCGTAGTTGCGTCAGCCACTGTAGTTGTGTCAGCTACTGTTGTTGTAACATCAGCCGTTGTTGCATCAGTAACTGTTGTTGTAGCATCAGCTGTAGTTGTGTCAGCCACTGTACTTGTAGCATCAGCTACTGTAGTATCTGCTGTAGTTGCGTCAGCCACTGTAGTTGTGTCAGCTACTGTTGTTGTAACATCAGCCGTTGTTTCATCAGCAACTGTTATTGTAGCATCAGCTGTAGTTGTGTCAGCCACTGTAGTTGTGTCAGCAACTGTTGTTGTAACATCAGCCGTTGTTGCATCAGCAACTGTAGTATCTGCCGTAGTTGCGTCAGCCACTGTAGTTGTGTCAGCAACTGTTGTTGTAACATCAGCCATTGTTGCATCAGCAACTGTTGTTGTAGCATCAGCTGTAGTTGTGTCAGCCACTGTAGTTGTGTCAGCAACTGTTGTTGAAACATCAGTCGTTGTTGCATCAGCAACTGTTGTTGTAGCATCAGCTGCTGTAGTATCTGCCGTAGTTGTGTCAGCCACTGTAGTTGTGTCAGCTACTGTTGTTGTAACATCAGCCGTTGTTGCATCAGCAACTGTTGTTGTAGCATCAGCTGTAGTTGTGTCAGCTACTGTTGTTGTAACATCAGCCGTTGTTGCATCAGCAACTGTTATTGTAGCATCAGCTGTAGTTGTGTCAGCCACTGTAGTTGTGTCAGCAACTGTAGTTGTAGCATCAGCTGCTGTAGTATCTGCCGTAGTTGCGTCAGCCACTGTAGTTGTGTCAGCAACTGTTGTTGTAACATCAGCCGTTGTTGCATCAGCAACCGTTGTTGTAGCATCAGCTGTAGTTGTGTCAGCCACTGTACTTGTAGCATCAGCTGCTGTAGTATCTGCCGTAGTTACGTCAGCCACTGTAGTTGTGTCAGCTACTGTTGATGTAACATCAGCCGTTGTTGCACCCGCAACTGTTGTTGTAGCATCAGCTGTAGTTGTGTCAGCCACTGTACTTGTAGCATCAGCTACTGTAGTATCTGCTGTAGTTGCGTCAGCCACTGTAGTTGTGTCAGCAACTGTTGTTGTAACATCAGCCGTTGTTGCATCAGCAACCGTTGTTGTAGCATCAGCTGTAGTTGTGTCAGCCACTGTAGTTGTAGCATCAGTTGCTGTAGTATCTGCCGTAGTTGCGTCAGCCACTGTAGTTGTGTCAGCAACTGTTGTTGTAACATCAGTCGTCGTTGCATCAGCAACTGTTGTTGTAGCATCAGCTGTAGTTGTGTCAGCCACTGTAGTTGTAGCATCAGCTGCTGTAGTATCTGCCGTAGTTGCGTCAGCCACTGTAGTTGTGACAGCTACTGTTGTTGTAACATCAGCCGTTGTTGCATCACCAACTGTTGTTGTAGCATCAGCTGTAGTTGTGTCAGCCACTGTACTTGTAGCATCAGCTGCTGTCGTATCTGCCGTAGTTGCGTCAGCCACTGTAGTTGTGTCAGCTACTGTTGTTGTAACATCAGCCGCTGTTGCATCAGCAACTGTTGTTGTAGCATCAGCTGTAGTTCTGTCAGCAACTGAAGTTGTGTCAGCTACTGTTGTTGTTACATCAGCTGTTGTTGCATCAGCAACTGTTGTTGTAGCATCAGCTGTAGTTGTGTCAGCCACTGTAGTTGTAGCATCAGCTGCTGTCGTATCTGCCGTAGTTGCGTCAGCAACTGTAGTTGTGTCAGATTCTGTTGTTGTAACATCAGCCGTTGTTGCATCAGCAACTGTTGTTGTAGCATCAGCTGTAGTTGTGTCAGCCCCTGTAGTTGTAGCATCAGCTGCTGTAGTATATGCCGTAGTTGCGTCAGCCACTGTAGTTGTGCCAGCTACTGTTGATGTAACATCAGCCGTTGTTGCATCAGCAACTGTCGTTGTAGCATCAGCTGTAGTTGTGTCAGCCACTGTGCTTGTAGCATCAGCTGCTGTAGTATCTGCCGTAGTTGCGTCAGCCACTGTAGTTATGTCAGCAACTGTTGTTGTAACATCAGCCGTTGTTGCATCAGCAACTGTTGTTGTAGCATCAGCTGTAGTTGTGTCAGCCACTGTAGTTGTAGCATCAGCTGCTGTAGTATCTGCCGTAGTTGCGTCAGCCACTGTAGTTGTGTCAGCTACTGTTGTTGTAACATCAGCCGTTGTTGCACCAGCAACTGTTGTTGTAGCATCAGCTGTAGTTGTGTCAGCCACTGTACTTGTAGCATCAGCTGCTGTAGTATCTGCCGTAGTTGCGTCAGCCACTGTAGTTGTGTCAGCAACTGTTGTTGTAACATCAGCCGTTGTTGCATCAGCAACTGTTGTTAAAGCATCAGCTGTAGTTGTGTCAGCAACTGTAGTTGCGTCAGCAACTGTTGTTGTAACATCAGCCGTTGTTGCATCAGCAACTGTTGTTGTAGCGTCAGCTGTAGTTGTGTCAGCCACTGTAGTTGTAGCATCAGATCCTGTAGTATCTGCCGTAGTTGCGCCAGCCACTGTAGTTGTGTCAGCTACTGTTGTTGTAACATCAGCCGTTGTTGCATCAGCAACTGTTGTTGTAGCATGAGCTGTAGTTGTGTCAGCCACTGTAGTTGTAGCATCAGCTGCTGTAGTATCTGCCGTAGTTGCGTCAGCCACTGTAGTTGTGTCAGCAACTGTTGTTGTAACATCAGCCGTTGTTGCATCAGCAACTGTTGTTGTAGCATCAGCTGTAGTTGTGTCAGCCACTGTACTTGTAGCATCAGCTGCTGTAGTATCTGCCGTAGTTGCGTCAGCCACTGTAGTTGTGTCAGCTACTGTTGTTGTAACATCAGCCGTTGTTGCACCAGCAACTGTTGTTGTAGCATCAGCTGTAGTTGTGTCAGCCACTGTAATTGTAGCATCAGCTGCTGTAGTATCTGCCGTAGTTGCGTCAGCCACTGTAGTTGTGACAGCTACTGTTGTTGTAACATCAGCCGTTGTTGCATCAGCAACTGTTGTTGTAGCATCAGCTGTAGTTGTGTCAGCCACTGTAGTTGTAGCATCAGCTGCTGTCGTATCTGCCGTAGTTGCGTCAGCCACTGTAGTTGTGTCAGCTACTGTTGTTGTAACATCAGCCGTTGTTGCATCAGCAACTGTTGTTGTAGCATCAGCTGTAGTTCCGTCAGCAACTGTAGTTGTGTCAGCTACTGTTGTTGTTACATCAGCCGTTGTTGCATCAGCAACTGTTGTTGTAGCATCAGCTGTAGTTGTGTCAGCCACTGTAGTTGTAGCATCAGCTGCTGTCGTATCTGCCGTAGTTGCGTCAGCAACTGTAGTTGTGTCAGACTCTGTTGTTGTAACATCAGCCGTTGTTGCATCAGCAACTGTTGTTGTAGCATCAGCTGTAGTTGTGTCAGCCCCTGTAGTTGTAGCATCAGCTGCTGTAGTATCTGCCGTAGTTGCGTCAGCCACTGTAGTTGTGTCAGCTACTGTTGTTGTATCATCAGCCGTTGTTGCATCAGCAACTGTTGTTGTAGCATCAGCTGTAGTTGTGTCAGCCACTGTGCTTGTAGCATCAGCTGCTGTAGTATCTGCCGTAGTTGCGTCAGCCACTGTAGTTATGTCAGCAACTGTTGTTGTAACATCAGCCGTTGTTGCATCAGCAACTGTTGTTGTAGCATCAGCTGTAGTTGTGTCAGCCACTGTAGTTGTAGCATCAGCTGCTGTAGTATCTGCCGTAGTTGCGTCAGCCACTGTAGTTGTGTCAGCTACTGTTGTTGTAACATCAGCCGTTGTTGCATCAGCAACTGTAGTATCTGCCGTAGTTGCGTCAGCCACTGTAGTTGTGTCAGCAACTGTTGTTGTAACATCAGCCATTGTTGCATCAGCAACTGTTGTTGTAGCATCAGCTGTAGTTGTGTCAGCCACTGTAGTTGTGTCAGCAACTGTTGTTGAAACATCAGCCGTTGTTGCATCAGCAACTGTTGTTGTAGCATCAGCTGCTGTAGTATCTGCCGTAGTTGTGTCAGCCACTGTAGTTGTGTCAGCTACTGTTGTTGTAACATCAGCCGTTGTTGCATCAGCAACTGTTGTTGTAGCATCAGCTGTAGTTGTGTCAGCCACTGTAGTTGTAGCATCAGTTGCTGTAGTATCTGCCGTAGTTGTGTCAGCCACTGTAGTTGTGTCAGCTACTGTTGTTGTAACATCAGCCGTTGTTGCACCAGCAACTGTTGTTGTATCATCAGCTGTAGTTGTGTCAGCCACTGTACTTGTAGCATCAGCTGCTGTAGTATCTGCCGTAGTTGCGTCAGCCACTGTAGTTGTGTCAGCAACTGTTGTTGTAACATCAGCCGTTGTTGCCTCAGCAACTGTTGTTAAAGCATCAGCTGTAGTTGTGTCACCAACTGTAGTTGCGTCAGCAACTGTTGTTGTAACATCAGCCGTTGTTGCATCAGCAACTGTTGTTGTAGCGTCAGCTGTAGTTGTGTCAGCCACTGTAGTTGTAGCCTCAGATGCTGTAGTATCTGCCGTAGTTGCGTCAGCCACTGTAGTTGTGTCAGCTACTGTTGTTGTAACATCAGCCATTGTTGCATCAGCAACTGTTGTTGTAGCATGAGCTGTAGTTGTGTCAGCCACTGTAGTTGTAGCATCAGCTGCTGTAATATCTGCCGTAGTTGCGTCAGCCACTGTAGTTGTGTCAGCAACTGTTGTTGTAACATCAGCCGTTGTTGCATCAGCAACTGTTGTTGTAGCATCAGCTGTAGTTGTGTCAGCCACTGTACTTGTAGCATCAGCTGCTGTAGTATCTGCCGTAGTTGCGTCAGCCACTGTAGTTGTGTCAGCTACTGTTGTTGTAACATCAGCCGTTGTTGAACCAGCAACTGTTGTTGTAGCATCAGCTGTAGTTGTGTCAGCCACTGTAATTGTAGCATCAGCTGCTGTAGTATCTGCTGTAGTTGCGTCTGCCACTGTAGTTGTGACAGCTTCTGTTGTTGTAACATCAGCCGTTGTTGCATCAGCAACTGTTGTTGTAGCATCAGCTGTAGTTGTGTCAGCCACTGTAGTTGTAGCATCAGCTGCTGTCGTATCTGCAGTAGTTGCGTCAGCCACTGTAGTTGTGTCAGCTACTGTTGTTGTAACATCAGCCGTTGTTGCATCAGCAACTGTTGTTGTAGCATCAGCTGTAGTTCCGTCAGCAACTGTAGTTGTGTCAGCTACTGTTGTTGTTACATCAGCCGTTGTTGCATCAGCAACTGTTGTTGTAGCATCAGCTGTAGTTGTGTCAGCCACTGTAATTGTAGCATCAGCTGCTGTCGTATCTGACGTAGTTGCGTCAGCAACTGTAGTTGTGTCAGATTCTGTTGTTGTAACATCAGCCGTTGTTGCATCAGCAACTGTTGTTGTAGCATCAGCTGTAGTTGTGTCAGCCACTGTAGTTGTGTCAGCTACTGTTGTTGTAACATCAGCCGTTGTTGCATCAGCAACTGTTGTTGTAGCATCAGCTGTAGTTGTGTCAGCCACTGTAGTTGTAGCATCAGTTGCTGTAGTATCTGCCGTAGTTGTGTCAGCCACTGTAGTTGTGTCAGCTACTGTTGTTGTAACATCAGCCGTTGTTGCATCAGCAACTGTAGTATCTGCCGTAGTTGTGTCAGCCACTGTAGTTGTGTCAGCAACTGTTGTTGTAACATCAGCCGTTGTTGCATCAGCAACTGTTGTTGTAGCATCAGCTGTAGTTGTGTCAGCTACTGTAGTTGTGTCAGCAACTGTTGTTGAAACATCAGCCGTTGTTGCATCAGCAACTGTTGTTGTAGCATCAGCTGCTGTAGTATCTGCCGTAGTTGCGTCAGCCACTGTAGTTGTAGCATCAGTTGCTGTAGTATCTGCCGTAGTTGCGTCAGCCAATGTAGTTGTGTCAGCAACTGTTGTTGTAACATCAGTCGTCGTTGCATCAGCAACTGTTGTTGTAGCATCAGCTGTAGTTATGTCAGCCACTGTAGTTGTAGCATCAGCTGCTGTAGTATCTGCCGTAGTTGCGTCAGCCACTGAAGTTGTGACAGCTACTGTTGTTGTAACATCAGCCGTTGTTGCATGAGCAACTGTTGTTGTAGCATCAGCTGTAGTTGTGTCAGCCACTGTACTTGTAGCATCAGCTGCTGTAGTATCTGCCGTAGTTGCGTCAGCCACTGTAGTTGTGTCAGCTACTGTTGTTGTAACATCAGCCGTTGTTGCACCAGCAACTGTTGTTGTAGCATCAGCTGTAGTTGTGTCAGCCACTGTACTTGTAGCATCAGCTGCTGTAGTATCTGCCGTAGTTGCGTCAGCCACTGTAGTTGTGTCAGCAACTGTTGATGTAACATCAGCTGTTGTTGCATCAGCAACTGTTGTTAAAGCATCAGCTGTAGTTGTGTCAGCAACTGTAGTTGCGTCAGCAACTGTTGTTGTAACATCAGCCGTTGTTGCATCAGCAACTGTTGTTGTAGTGTCAGCTGTAGTTGTGTCAGCCACTGTAGTTGTAGCATCAGATGCTGTAGTATCTGCCGTAGTTGCGTCAGCCACTGTAGTTGTGTCAGCTACTGTTGTTGTAACATCAGCCGTTGTTGCACCAGCAACTGTTGTTGTAGCATCAGCTGTAGTTGTGTCAGCCACTGTACTTGTAGCATCAGCTGCTGTAGTATCTGCCGTAGTTGCGTCAGCCACTGTTGTTGTAACATCACCCGTTGTTGCATCAGCAACTGTTGTTGTAGCATCAGCTGTAGTTCCGTCAGCAACTGTAGTTGTGTCAGCTACTGTTGTTGTAGCATCAGCTGTAGTTGTGTCAGCCACTGTACTTGTAGCATCAGCTGCTGTAGTATCAGCCGTAGTTGCGTCAGCCACTGTAGTTGTGTCAGCTACTGTTGTTGTAACACCAGCCGTTGTTGCTGTAGCATCAGCTGTAGTTGTGTCAGCCACTGTACTTGTAGCATCAGCTGCTGTAGTATCTGCCGTAGTTGCGTCAGCCACTGTAGTTGTGTCAGCAACTGTTGTTGTAACATCGGCCGTTGTTGCATCAGCAACTGTTGTTGTAGCATCAGCTGTAGTTGTGTCAGCAACTGTAGTTGCGTCAGCAACTGTTGTTATAACATCAGCCGTTGTTGCATCAGCAACTGTTGTTGTAGCGTCAGCTGTAGTTGTGTCAGCCACTGTAGTTGTAGCATCAGATGCTGTAGTATCTGCCGTAGTGGCGTCAGCCACTGTAGTTGTGTCAGCAACTGTTGTTGTTACATCAGCCGTTGTTGCATCAGCAACTGTTGTTGTAGCATCAGCTGTAGTTGCGTCAGCCACTGTAGTTGTGTCAGCAACTGTTGTTGAAACATCAGCCGTTGTTGCATCAGCAACTGTTGTTGTAGCATCAGCTGCTGTAGTATCTGCCGTAGTTGTGTCAGCCACTGTAGTTGTAGCATCAGCTGCTGTAGTATCTGCCGTAGTTGTGTCAGCCACTGTAGTTGTGTCAGCTACTGTTGTTGTAACATCAGCCGTTGTTGCATCAGTAACTGTTGTTGTAGCCTCAGCTGTAGTTGTGTCAGCCACTGTAGTTGTAGCATCAGCTGCTGTAGTATCTGCCGTAGTTGCGTCAGCCACTGTAGTTGTGTCAGCAACTGTTGTTGTAACATCAGCCGTTGTTGCATCAGCAACTGTTGTTGTAGCATCAGCTGTAGTTGTGTCAGCCATTGTAGTTGTAGCATCAGCTGCTGTAGTATCTGCCGTAGTTGCGTCAGCCACTGTAGTTATGTCAGCAACTGTTGTTGTAACATCAGCCGTTGTTGCATCAGCAACCGTTGTTGTAGCATCAGCTGTAGTTGTGTCAGCCACTGTAGTTATGTCAGCAACTGTTGTTGTAACATCAGCCGTTGTTGCATCAGCAACCGTTGTTGTAGCATCAGCTGTAGTTGTGTCAGCCAATGTAGTTGTAGCATCAGCTGCTGTAGTCTCTGCCGTAGTTGTATCAGCCACTGTAGTTATGTCAGCAACTGTTGTTGTAACATCAGCCGTTGTTGCATCAGCAACCGTTGTTGTAGCATCAGCTGTAGTTGCGTCAGCCACTGTAGTTGTGTCAGCAACTGTTGTTGAAACATCAGACGTTGTTGCATCAGCAACTGTTGTTGTAGCATCAGCTGCTGTAGTATCTGCCGTAGTTGTGTCAGCCACTGTAGTTGTGTCAGCTACTGTTGTTGTAACATCAGCCGTTGTTGCATCAGTAACTGTTGTTGTAGCCTCAGCTGTAGTTGTGTAAGCCACTGTAGTTGTAGCATCAGCTGCTGTAGTATCTGCCGTAGTTGCGTCAGCCACTGTAGTTGTTTCAGCAACTGTTGTTGTAACATCAGCCGTTGTTGCATCAGCAACTGTTGTTGTAGCATCAGCTGTAGTTGTGTCAGCCACTGTAGTTGTAGCATCAGCTGCTGTAGTATCTGCCGTAGTTGCGTCAGCCACTGTAGTTATGTCAGCAACTGTTGTTGTAACATCAGCCGTTGTTGCATCAGCAACCGTTGTTGTAGCATCAGCTGTAGTTGTGTCAGCCAATGTAGTTGTAGCATCAGCTGCTGTAGTCTCTGCCGTAGTTGTATCAGCCACTGTAGTTATGTCAGCAACTGTTGTTGTAACATCAGCCGTTGTTACATCAGTAACTGTTGTTGTAGCATCAGCTGTAGTTGTGTCAGCCACTGTAGTTGTAGCATCAGCTGATGTAGTCTCTGCCGTAGTTGTATCAGCCACTGTAGTTATGTCAGCAACTGTTGTTGTAACATCAGCCGTTGTTACATCAGCAACTGTTGTTGTAGCATCAGCTGTAGTTGTTTCAACCACTGTAGTTGTAGCATCAGCTGCTGTAGTATCTGCCGTAGTTGCGTCGGCCACTGTAGTTGTGTCAGCTACTGTTGTTGTAACATCAGCCGTCGTTGCATCAGCAACTGTTGTTGTAGCATCAGCTGTAGTTGTGTCAGCCACTGTGATTGTAGCATCACCTGCTGTAGTATCTGCCGTAGTTGCGTCAGCCACTGTAGTTGTGTCAGCAACTGTTGTTGTTACATCAGCCGTCGTTGCATCAGCAACTGTTGTTGTAGCATCAGCTGTAGTTGTGTCAGCCACTGTAGTTGTAGCATCAGCTGCTGTAGTATCTGCCGTAGTTGCGTCAGCCACTGTAGTTGTGTCAGCAACTGTTGTTGTTACATCAGCCGTCGTTGCATCAGCAACTGTTGTTGTAGCATCAGCTGTAGTTGTGTCAGCCACTGTAGTTGTAGCATCAGCTGCTGTAGTATCTGCCGTAGTTGCGTCAGCCACTGTAGTTGTGTCAGCTACTGTTGTTGTAACATCAGCCGTTGTTGCATCAGCAACTGTTGTTGTAGCATCAGCTGTAGTTGTGTCAGCCACTGTACTTGTAGCATCAGCTGCTGTAGTATCTGCCGTAGTTGCGCCAGCCACTGTAGTTGTGTCAGCTACTGTTGTTATAACGTCAGCCGTTGTTGCATCAGCAACTGTTGTTGTAGCATCAGCTGTAGTTGTGTCAGCAACTGTAGTTGCGTCAGCAACTGTTGTTGTAGCATCGGATGCTGTAGTATCTGCCGTAGTTGCGTCAGCCACTGTAGTTGTGTCAGCAACTGTTGTTGTAACATCGGTCGTTGTTGCATCAGCAACTGTTATTGTAGCATCAGCTGTGGTTGTGTCAGCCACTGTAGTTGTAGCATCAGCTGCTGTCGTATCTGCCGTAGTTGCGTCAGCCACTGTAGTTGTGTCAGCTACTGTTGTTATAACGTCAGCCGTTGTTGCATCAGCAACTGTTGTTGTAGCATCAGCTGTAGTTGTGTCAGCAACTGTAGTTGCGTCAGCAACTGTTGTTGTAGCATCGGATGCTGTAGTATCTGCCGTAGTTACGTCAGCCACTGTAGTTGTGTCAGCAACTGTTGTGGTAGCATCAGCTGTAGTTGTGTCAGCCACTGTAGTTGTGGCATCAGCTGCTGTAGTATCTGCCGTAGTTGCGTCAGCCACTGTAGTTGTGTCAGCTACTGTTGTTGTAACATCAGCCGTTGTTGCATCAGCAACTGTTGTAGTAGCATCACCTGTAGTTGTGTCAGCCACTGTAGTTGTAGCATCAGCTGCTGTGGTATCTGCCGTAGTTGCGCCAGCCACTGTAGTTGCGTCAGCAACTGTTGTTGTAGCATCAGCCGTAGTTGTGCTAGCCACTGTAGTTGTTGTATTATCAACTGTAGCTGTAAGAAATGATCGAGATATTAGTTCGAATCTTTTGAAAAAAATGATGACATTTTGACGTTTTCATTGTTGAAATATATCAAGTTTCGATCCTGAGAGCCCATTCTCCTTGTTTTATCTAAAAATATGGCTGTGAGGAAGTAAAAAATTCTTAAAATTTAAAGTGGTGTTTTCTGGGGTGAGTGGGAGTATAACAGTCAAGTCGGGTAACTGAGTCAACATTCGAAAATAAAATCTCAAAAATCGTACATCTTTGATTTCCAAAATAATTTTTGAGGTGGTTATTAACCTCTTGAATACCCAGAATGACGGATATATCTGTCATAAATGAAATCCATTTGGAACCCAGAGCGACAGATATATATGTCACAGAATTTTTCACTAAAACTGCTCTTACTTTGGCATTTTTTATCCAATCTTCACAAATTAGGTTTTAGAATGTATGTAATGGGTCTATGTTTACTATTCTTATGAAATCAAATATCGAACATTGTGTTTTTAGATGTAAATATCCAGAAAAATAGCAGAAAATGAAAAATGCTCTGGTTTCAAACCCTTTTAGAGGCTGGTATTCAAGAGGTTAAGATGACAATACACATTTTAACGTACTAATTTTGAGTACATCTCGAATATATTCTTAACAAAGCGTTCTCGAAATAAGTATTCGAAATGTTTGAGTTCGGGATGATAAAAGTACGTTAAGATATACCGCTCCTTAACAAATTCCTTTGGGAACAAGATATAGAATCAAAAGGATATTCTTCGTATTTACTCCCTGACACATGCAAACGAATGTTACATAAGTAAATATCTCCGTTTTAAATAATTTTGTAAACGTTGTTCTCTATACAGGTGCCATTTTTAATAATTGAAAAACAATATTGAACATTTTGCATTTCTAAATTGATAAGTTTCTTGGAATACAACTTAACCGTTAACGATTTAAGTCATTAATATTATTTCCCTTAGTGATCCCATGCTAAATAGACAGTATGGGTCAATGTTTTATCTTCAACCTTGTTTTGATGACTTTTAAACACGAATCGACAATCATGTAGGAAAGAATGGGTATCGATATGGCAAACTTTTTGAACACACGTTTCTCTTAAACCAGTCATCAAAAAATTCTGAAAATCTTACAAATTGTCAATTTAATGGCGATCTTTTGAATGGTAACAATATAATTTGAAATAGATATACATATTTTCATTTATATTGTTCGATATGGCGAACTTTTTGAACACACGTTTCTCTTAACCAGTCATCAAAAAATTCTGAAAATCTTACAAATTGTCAATTTAATGGCGATCTTTTGAATGGTAACAATATAATTTGAAATAGATATACATATTTTCATCTATATTGTTTTAAAAAACACATCAAACACTTGTTTTGTTCTTGGTATCATGTTTTCAGAGTCAAATGGAACATCTTTCCGAACCTCATTGGAACAAAACGACATAAACACAACATGTTTAGGTCTCTCAATATTGTAATTGTACAAAGGAAATTTTTGTTGATTTTAAAAAAGTATCTTGTTATTGAAATAAAAGTTTTTTCTTGATTTTTATCTATTTTGGGGGGATTTTGTTTTAATTTTTTGAATACTTTTTTAAAATCAACCAAAAATTCCTTTGTATAACTTTAATATTGAGAGGTCTAAAACATGTTATATATGCTATTTTGTTCCAACAAGGTTCAAAAACAATTGCTCTAAAAAAAACAAAAAATGTTATAAAATAAACAGTTATATAAAATATTTCAAAATAATTTTCGCATTAAGTTGTTGTCAATCAGTCAACTTTACTTAAAATACCATGTTTTTTACAGAATGTTTTCAATGATTTGTTTAAGAGAAAAACATTGTTGAATCCAGTTCTCCATATCGATACCTATCCTTTCAATTCCAAATGTAAGCGTGTCAACTCCTGTTTTTGCACAATATTTAGCCTTTTACGAGGGTTGATCCAAAAGTTCTCCACCGTTTGTTCTTAAAAAAATATTTCTTGGTGAATTTTGTTCAAACTTGGTCAGGAGCAACATATATATGATGGTTTAATGTTCCATAAATATGGTTGAAAAATTACAACTTTAACATAACCATTTGGTTACCATAGCAACACGACAATGAGGT